CCCATTTGTGGCGCGACAACTTCGAATTCTTGTACCTCACGTTTGAGCATACGCTTCAATTGTTCCATCCTACGAGGATCACATTCAACGTCGACCAAAATATCAGACTAGAACAATTAAATTTTATTTATACATATTTTAAATATAATTAATTTTAAAATGGGACAAAGAATACTAACTGCGGAAATCTCAGTCATGGATTTCCTGGATTCAATATGAAGCACGTTTATTCCTAAATCTTGGAAGACGGATAGAACTTTTACTAGGCCTCCAACTTGATTTTTCAGAGTAAAAATTACGGAAATCCTGTCGCCCTCATGAGGATGAGGAACATGATGATGAGTATCTTCAAGCTTAGGATGATGCGTTTCATCCTTAAGCTGCCAATCTGAACCATTTCTATACAACCACAAGCCGAGTAGTCCTTTTCCAGATCCACTCATTATTACGTGTTAGTAAAAGATACGCAATATCTCAACGCTAAACTTTCAATGTCGCAACAATGTTTGTCTAATAGGGGATGCGTCGCTGCAAGGGTAAGAGACAAACTGCGCCTCACTCGGGCCTTCGTTCCCTTTATAAAGAGAACAGGAGCGGGAGACTTGTCGGAGGGTGGGTATATTTGATTGGCGGAATCAAGTGTTCGGTGTAACTTGAAAAATCTTCTCAGACCGTTAGGACGCGTTCCCACTTATGCGAATTATTCATACAAAAAAGTATAATAATTTCTGCAGAAATATAACACATATATAATTCTATGACTTATTAGATTTCAACTTTGAAATGGAAACATTTAATTTACATTTAATTTTATTTATTTAAAATTAATCCAATAATTAATATAAATTATATTAAATTTTATCATGTACTTAATGAAGATTAAAAATGCATTTTTATATATTTAAAGTATAAGACCTTCTCGTTACTTTTGGTATTATGACTGAGAACTATTGCTATTTTGTGTGATTTCTCTAAATCTTTACGTCTAATCTTAAGGCAGCACTCACACTAGCTCAGAGAACATAGAATACAAATCAGGGGGGAACCTACCTACAGTGGTCGGGTAACGGGTGTTAAACTCGCGAGTCACTGTATTTATTACCATTGTTTAGCGAAAAGAGCATCCCCTATCATTCATTATCCGGTAGACCTTGCCGTTTGTTTTATCACATTGAAGTTGTATAAACTGATGAATCGTATTTAACCCGTTAATGGCTATTACAATATTTTGCTGCCCTTATAATTAGACAAACATATGAAATATTATTTTGAAAATATTAAAAGTAGAGACAAAAATAATATTTCGGTTAACTCTATTTTTAGTGCTCTGAATTAATTGAAACTTTGGTTACTGTTATAATCCAAACCTAAACAACGTAAAGAGCGTCGGCGGCTCAGGGGTCAAGCACTTGATTTGCAATCTGCATGTCCTGGGTTTGAATCCCGCCATGTACCAATACGTTTTTCGATTTCCGATTTACATATGTACATTCATCCGATGTTCTTACGGTGAAGGAAAACATCGTGATGCAACCTGCACATATCTGAGAAGAAATTCAAAGATATGTGTGAAATCAACCAACCCGCATTTGGCCAGCGTGGTTGACTATGTCCTAATCACCCTTAACTTGGGGTAGGCTCCGAGCCCCTCGGTGGGAACGTATAGTGAGCTGATGATGATGAAACAACGTAACCAATTTCGACTGCAGTGAAACTTATATTGATACATATTGTTGTCCCTATTTTCTTAAAGATAATATGAGGGACAATAATGTATCGAAACGCATAATTATTATTGACGTTATTTAACGTATCACATTATCTTAGTTGATGAGTCCCATTCATGTAGAATTTACTAGTTATTTGTGCCCAGACTTTTATCCATTTAATATATCTATATTAATATAAACTCAGAAACTAGTGAAGCGGATTAAATAATTCATATTACTTATGAATAAATAAAAGATTTATTGCCTAACTTTCGTTTCAAGTTAAAGGAAAACAATCGATGTGTACTAAACTTTAAATGTATGATAAATTCTAGTGATATACAAAAAAAGTATATCCGTAAGGTTTTAATTATATTTAAAAAGATACTTCTAGGATAATTTGAGCAGAATGAAATATGTTCATATTAAAAGCATTGTAAAATATGAACACAATGTTAGTGTAACGACGCGTATACTGTAAAACGATAAGGACATTAAGAGGATTGTTCTTTTGTGATAGTCACGATACGCTGACATGTGGGCATTATCACCATGATCTTGTAGTTAGAAATTTTATCTATACTAAATTATATATACAGCTTCGTCTGCTCTATATTAAAAAATATATTATGTGAATATAAAACTTTATCAAAAAAAAATTTAAGTTAAATATTTCAAAACCGTATGCCAACCGTTTGGCAGCCGCCCAGACAATTACATGCATCTGGCAAAAAGTAACGACTTACCTAACAAACAAGTTATAGCTCCGACAAACGATAAATATCCTTAGTTCCGTGCTCGAAATAGCTTACTATTTTTTTTAAATATTCCTAAAAATATATTAACGCTATGTATAAAACCTAGTATTCAAAGATTTTTGGGTTATATGAATCGTGCAACAACAGTAAGCAAGCGTAATAACAATTTAAAAGACTGTAAATGCTCACTTAAATAATACTTACTGAGATTTCTCTTAAAAATCTATTTTGAAGTGCTTTCGTACCGTTGGTTTCTGAAACCAAAACCTATGTATAAAACATATCGTTATCTCTGTCATTATCTTTGACAATACATAGAATTTTATGTTAATTTCCACGCGTACTTTTTCGAAATGTAAATGAAATAAAAAAAAATATTTAAATGTAAAATGGAAAATTTTATTCGTATTCAAAGTCGCAAACTAAGGCATAAATTAAATCATGAATAAATCATATTCAATACGAAATTCAAACGTCCTTTGATTACTAACTGAGCTTTTAATTCAATTTCCTCCGAGACGTCTCCAAGCTCTTTTCAGACTTGCAATGAATAAATGTTTATTATTGTGTGTCAATATTACCTCCATTCCACCTCCTCCCCCTGGGACGGTTTGCAAACAGCTTTTCTCTAGGAATAAACTATTTTCCTTTTTGATTTAATGGCGAAAAAAATGTTTTCCGAAGTTGATTTTCACAGAGTCAAAGATTAATTTATTTCATTAAAGCAATTAATAAATAGTTCGTGTAATTTTAAAAACTGGCAAAGAAGAACGAGAACGAACGAGGACATTGATTTTCGCTTAAAATAATGTTGTAAAGGCAGCAATCCATACGATTTTCACTTTTTTTTAATTCATTACTCTTCTAGAGTTAAAATTTTATAATCGAAAACTAACACAATAATCGAAAAAATAATACAATAATCTAAATCTAATCTAATCTAATCTAATATATACTCTAATCTTATATAACATATAATATAATCTAATATAATAATCAGAAAAAATAAAATAACATTATTATTATAATTAGTGTAATATTCTTTCTTCATTGTTATTCGAAGCCAAATTGCTGTGTGAAAGCTAATTGAAATTAAATAACACGAAGATTTCTTAGTAAAGATTGTTTTGCCCTTGATTTTCAAACTACCGGGAGGCGGCTAACTTCCCTCGCTTTTGCTCTTTCAAAACATGCATTCAATACTGTCGGGAGAGGGTCCGGATGCAATGTCAAGGTCGGGTGAAGAGCAACATATCGAAGTATTATTGACGCGCAGAAACATTTTATTTACTTCGTCGAATTTTAAAACGATCAATACAAAAATGCTGTTATATTGCCTGGTGTTTTAGAGTATGTTATATTCTACTTTGTTATAAATAATACTCGTAGGTGTAATAAAAAACTTTTAACTCATTTATGCTATTATATATTAACTCCTTGGTTGTTAAGAAAATAAAAAAAAGGTTTGTAGTTACTACTCACTAGTAGTTTTTATTAAATATAATACCATCAATGTTTTCTTTTCATTATGAATTATTTGCAACTACGGGGGTTACACTCCTAAGTAGTTAGTGCTACCCTCATATTCAGGAACAGTATGTGGCACGGCAATTCATAAAGTGATTCTAAATAAAAAAATGCTAAATTATTCGAAAATGAACTTTATTTCAAATTTTTATCTACGTGTTCTTTGAATGTAATAGTTTTGCGGAAGTAATTTAATTCTCATTTTCTTCTGAAAGAGAAGACATTTAGTTGAAGTGTACTTAGCATTCGGAATGACAAAGTCTGACAGGGGAGGGACTTAGATTGTTTATTTTGCTCTTAGGTCTCGCAATGGCGACTCTATAGTGGATAGAGACGCCGGGCTAATCAAACATTCCATTTTTAAAAATAAGATATCCGTCAGTTTGTTTTTCTTTTGTATCCATTTTTATTTAAATCTTTCCGTCTCTTTGTCCTCATATTTTATGGAAAATATTTTTTCACAAGTGGTACATAAATATGCGATTTTTTTTATTATAATTTATTTATTATATAATATTTATAGTCTGTTAATTAATAATACACTTATATATTATGTTAAATGAGTATATTAAATACTAAACATTAAAAATTAAAGCTACGAGATTAATAACTTAAAAAGAAACTTAAGAAGAGTTTGTTTGAGAGAGAAGTTGTTTGATAACCAAAATGTTATCAAACAACAATAAGCAATCAAAAAGTTACATGTCAAAATTGAAACGCGCGCAAGTTACAGGAAGTGATCGACTTGACAACGTATAGTCATAACTTCAATTTGATTTTGACGGATTATACGTTGATTCATAAAATATACGATCGCAGACCGTGTGTTCGAAGGGTGCGAATATACATGGGGATGACGAGTGAAAGGATGCGCGCGCAGGATATTGACGCATGCGCAAAGTAAATTTTAGTCTTTAGAACTTCTACAACTCGGTCGATAACTTGAAAGGGCGCAGGGGCGCGCATGCGGAACCCTCTTTGACTGAGAATCAAGTCTAATAGCGACATGGCTGACAGCGAGTTTGAAGAATTTCGTCGAGTTTTCGATAAATTACCGCAGCATATCAAAGCCCCATCATCATTTTACTCGTGAGTAATCTTTCTTATGTTATTACCATATAATCACAGCGCACCCTTCAGTTATGCGAATGTTTAACCTGATGACGACTAGTCTTGTGAAAAATATTAATAGAAAATGTTAACAGGTTTTTATAGTTTACTTAATAAGATTTGCTTTTGAAATATTTAAGATTGGTGCCAAATGTGGGATTGGTGGACGAATCGCCATCATCCAAAAGTGATGGTTCACCAGAAGATGATAAAGGGGGGGTTGGAGATGCCGAAACGGTAAACAGCTCAACAGGAGCTGCGGATGCTTCGGCAGCAAATCAAGGCGACGTCACCGATTCACAATGCAGTCCTAGACATCAAAATTTTACCAACGGCGAAAGAAAACGAAGAAAACTTCCAGAAATACCAAAGAATAGAAAATGTAAGTTAATATTATTTATTGCTATTTTCTTACTATATAAATAACCACAGTTAAGGTAAAGGTCGTGTCGTGTGGGAAGCTGGCGTTATTTTTACATTTTGCTTCTGCGCTCTGCGATTTTTGATGCACAGATATTTTTACCAACACGTGTAACTATGCCTCTTCATTGTTAAGCATTTGCGATTTATTATCAATATGTGTTTGTTACATGTTTTTACATACAATGTTAAATGAATCCTGTACCTAATATATGTGGTTAACTCCTTAACAAGACTGTCATCAAAAATATTTTTATTTAACATTGATTGGTAACATTAGACGAAAAGAATGATATTGGAAAAAATCTTTTAGGTATCACCCCATTGTGGCTCTATGTATTTCCGGACAATTTTCTCTTCAACCCACAATTCTGATAATTTATGGATATCATGATGATGTTTAATTATGATGACAAAATTGATTAGTAAAATTAAAAATTGCAAAATAAAAATAATAAGCATACAATTGCCTAGGCAGAAAGGAAGACCCGTTTACCTTTATCTATTTACATAAAATAGAGTATAATTTACAAAAGAATATATCTAAACCTAGAAATTCTCTCAAATGGGAAATGTCATGTTGAAAGTATGAGTTAAAGTAAATTACAAATAGACAACCTTAATAAAATCAGGTTGCATTCACGAAAACCACACATTGTATTAAACTCAGATGTAAATGAAGAAATGTTGCATATACATACGGAACTTTTTGTACTTTTTTTTTACTTTTAATTTTTATATTTTAATATTTAGAATATTATATTTAATTGTTCCTTTTTTCCATTCCAAAATTGTAGTTGTTAATAAATCTTTAAATAATGCATGCAATTTCTGGTATTTTCCTCCTTTTATAATATTTTCACTTTAATTTTTATTATGTTATTTCCCAAATTTTATGTAAATCCTATCGTTTGTTTCCGTCTTCTTTACTTTTCTTCGTCTTTAAACAATATTATTTTGTCTAAATTAGTCCTACTAATTTACTTAACTTTATTTACATAGTACTAAAGTATTTAACCTTTTGAAATTATTTTCATTGATTTTACTATATCTAAATAATTTGAAGATTCAACTTTGCGTTTACTTCATTTTGACCTAAGCTTTTGTTTCATGATTTTACTTTTTCGTTTTAATTATTTATGTTAAATTTTGTTTTCGTAATTAGTATAAGTAATATAACACTAATAAGTTATTTATACTATGTCCCTGCTTTGTATTAAATATTTTATCCAGACGACAACAGAATATATTATGAGGGGCGTTCATCATATAGTTTTAGGGTAGTAGAGAATCTAAAAATACTTAATGATATGTATAATATACAGGGTGTCCCAAATGGTTACGTACATAGGAAGGGGGATGATAGGGGTGGTCACAAGGGTCACCAGAAAAATAAAATAAAAATTCCCCTCTGGGTATTAAAAAAAATAAATGGCATTTTTAAAAAATTTAACACCTTCTGGGGCAATTTTAATATTCTTTAAAATTTGTAACCTTTGTACCTTCATTTGGCTTTATTAATATGACGTAATAAATTTTCCAGCTACAGTCATGGGTTCAAATCAGCCCGCTTCCCTGGCAGATGAATTAGGGGCACTATCAGGTGGAATAGTTCGCCCGGCAGGTCAAAGTCGACCATTGTTAGTACTGAAGTGTGGATACCTCCTCGACGAAGACTCCAGTCCAGATTCAGAAAGACTACAAAGTCTTGGGGATGTAGACAGCGGCCACAGTACTGCACATTCACCTATCGATACCGGCCCAAAGAGCTTATCGCCAACGCCACTTCAACAAAATGGTTTGTTTGCTATTACAATTTTATTACTGTATGTTTGATTTATATGTAGATGTATTCCAGATTGTTCTCTATGTTTAGACAAACAATAATAATTATTTCAGTGCAATTCGTGGATGCTTACCAATTTTCGTCAAATTGGGGTATATAACAAAACAATTTAATTTTCAACGCTTTATGCCAATACTAAACACTTTAGCCTTTAATATTTATAATTAAAAATTGGCTACGTATTCACATCTAAAGCTGTTTGTAAGCCACGCTTGCCGCCGCAACTAGTGCATCGATATTAGCAGCCTCTGCTCTGGACGCATGTAGTTGTGTTTTTGTACACTGGAACAACGTTATTTTTGAGTGATTCTATCAATAATGCTTCAATTTTAAAAGCATTGCAATTTTGCGTTTTTTCACTGTTATTAAGCTTAATACAATCGTATGCTTCGTACGTAATTATAATTTTTCAAGTAATTTCAGTGTCACCAACCTCAAGCTGCAGCATCAGTGGTACAAATTACTCTGGCAATATGACAACAGTTCCGCACAGCCATCTAGAGATATTAGAAGCGACCCACAGGGGCCTATACAAATTCAATCCTAGACATCACGATGAACTTGAACTAGAAATAGGAGATCCCATTTACGTTCAAAAAGAATGTGAAGATTTATGGTCTGAAGGTAAATACTGGAGGATTATTTATTATTACTTACTCGATTATTGTATTTCTTTCCTTTATTCTTCTTTCTTTCCAGGAGTTAATTTAAGGACTGGCCAGCAAGGAATTTTTCCTTCAGCATATGCAGTCGACATGGAATATAACGACTTTGATCCAGCTAATGTCAAGATTAAAAGGGAAAGATATCTCCTCGGGTAAGTATATACAGTAGGTATAGTGTAAGTTGAATTTTGTCAGCCTTATTGTAGAATGTCAAACACCTTATACCCTGAAGTTCTTCTACTTTAGCGGATGTCCATGCAAATTATATTACTTTAGATTAATCGTAGAAATATTAATATGTCATATAAATTGGTAACCAGGTACATGGGATCAGTTGAGACCTCGGCCCATAAAGGTACAGCTGTTGTATGTCAAGCGGTTAAAAAAATTGTTGGAGATTATACTGGAGATTTCGAAACACAGACGTGTATTTTGGAAGTTTCTGACCAAGGCCTACGCATGGTTGATCGTACAAGACATGAGACGGTACGTTATGGCAATTTAACTATATCCAGCTAAAAAGCCTTCTAAAGAAGCTAGTAACGATTTTTTCCATTTTTTCTTACAATCAACAGAAAGGAGTGAAAGCGCCGTGCCTTGATTATTTCTATTCATTGAAGAACGTATCTTTCTGTGCGTTTCATCCACGTGACCACAGATATCTTGGCTTCATCACTAAACATCCAACTTCACAAAGGTTTGCATGTCACGTTTTTCGAGGGATGGAATCCACAAGACCGGTAGCTGAATCTGTTGGGTAAGTTAAATTAACATTTCTATTAAAAAATTATGAGTACAACTATTCCTTGTTATTATTTGAGTATCCAATGTATATTGTTAAATAAAAAATTGGCACCGAACATATTTAGTTAAATACCTTAAGTTTGAGCATACGAAAAAAATCATAACTATAAAATGTTCAATAATAAGCTATCCAACATAAGATATCCATATCCATGTACAATGTTTGCATCTATGATACAATAACTAATGAGTCACGTCCAGTGGAAAATTCCATTCAACGCAATAAGACATTGCAAAGACATCGCTTTAGTATGTAACTGCACTACTAAGCGTTCATTTGTTATTTCATCGGTTACGTTACGTTACTTATTAATTAATTATTGTTTATATATTATATTTGTAGAGTTCATTAATTACTCGTGATAAATTGCATTGATTTCAGTACTTCTTTAAAAACATTATCAATCGACAAAGAAGTTAGTTCATCACTTTTCACCGATGTTCCTTAATCGTATGCACAAAATGATCTATTTTAGATGAAACCTGATCTAACGAAATCCATTGGAACTCATAAATGACTCACAGTGGTTTTAATTTTTTAACGATTTCCGATTTACATATGTACATTTATCCGACGTTCTTACGGTGAAGGAAAACATCGTGATGCAACCTGCACATATCTTAAAAAATTCAAAGATATGTGTGAAGTCAACCAACCCGCACTTGGCAAGCGTGGTTGACTATGGCCTAATCACCCTTAACTTAGGGTAGGCTCCGAGCCCCTCGGTAGGGACGTAGAGTGAGCTGATGATGATGATTTTTACTGAATAAATAATTAATACAATTTTATTTTGTTACAGGAGAGCATTCCAGAGATTTTATCAGAAGTTTATAGAAACAGCATACCCCATAGAAGACATTTATATAGAATAAGTTTAGTTTAAGGACGTATAACGTATCAATTCAGCAATATTAAAAAGCTTTCACACTTTTGCCGAAGACTAAACGTTAGAGACAACATATTTATATTATATTTTGAATAAAATAATGTACATTTATAGTTAAATGTACTTATCGTAACTGGTTCATAAATAATAATAATTAAGCATATATCTAAAACAACCAGTCAGAAAAATATCTGTGAATACTGGCTTTAAGAAACGATTTATTTCGTTAATAATAGCTATGCCTTCTGAGGATATTTACTTAAGTAAAAAGCAATCACATTTACAGTAATTTTTCATATGTTATATTAAAAAGGACGTGGTTTGTATTAAGGAGTAATAATTGTAATCGATGCCTTGCATTGCGCCTTGCTTGCTAAGGTTATTCTTTATTAAGAGGAGTAAAATTAATATATAAATAAAAATAAGGAAAACAGTGAGATCTCTAATAATTCTTTTGATTTACTTTAAAACATAATGTAGAACAAAATTATAGGTTTTTTTTTGTAAACCTTTTATTTTTTTTTTATTTAAAGTACCTAAAAAGACATGGATGTTATATCGATTGGATATTCATGTAATCAGTTAAGTGGTACAAAGTGAAGTTTCTTAAGAAAATATCAAATAAATCTCTTATACTGTGATATAAATAATTTTCATTTTTGGATTACGTATTTACATGTTTCAAATTTATCGTCTGTAGGTGAGATTCCACCGCGATATTAGAAACAGACACGGAATAAGTGTAGGTGAAGTATTAAACCACTTAATGCTTATTGACAAGACAAATATTGTATAGAATCGTACTTATTATTAACAATAATAGTTATAACATTATAACAATAATATTATAAAATTTGTCTTTAGACTATTTAATGTTATTATTTTGTATTTCTTTGATGGTTTTGATGTCTAACACCGATCACATTAACAATAAAGCAACTTCACAATAAATTTCATACGAATTTAATGCTTTACATAATTGTAAATAGCTAATAAAATGCCCCATTATTATTGCAAAAGATGCCTGATTATAAAATCATAATATTAAAATATCGTAATATAAAAATTTAAATAAAATTCATAGTTGTTACAAAATTAAAAAAAAAATACATTTCACGATAAACACAGTGTTTATAAATTGTGTATTTTGTAAATATAAATCATTTAAAGATCCACAGCTAAATTTGGGCAAAGCAGAAACGCTGTGACTCATAACAAATAATGAGAGTAATATTTATTTTTCCAGTACTGTCTAATTGTTTAACATAGAATAGAATTAAAGTTATTCTGTATTACATGGAAATTAATTGTTTTATTTATTCCTTAACCATTCCATCAATTAAATCATCATCATCAGCTCATTATAAGTCCCCACTGAGGGGCTCGGAGCCTACCCTAAGGGTGATAAGGCCATAGTCAACCACGTTGGCCAAGTGCGGGTTGGTTAAATTCACACATATCTTTGAATTTCTTCTCAGATATGTCCAGGTTGCATCACTATGTTTTCCATCACCGTAAGAATGTCGGATGTAAATATGTAAATCGAAGAACACATTGGTACATAGCAATATTCGAACCCAAGATCTGCCCATTACGAAAGAAGTCTATCTGAAGAAATACAAAGATATGTGTGAAGTCAACCAACCCTCACTAGGCCAGAGTGGTTTACTGCCATAACCACGCTGGTTATCCCTAACCCCTAATGTTTAAAAGCAATCATCCATCAAGTAGCAAATATTCAGAAAGTTCAGTGGTGGTGATGGTGAACCCGCTTTCTCATTCATTTTGCCCAAAATTTAATGAATAAACTTTTATAAAACTAGATGGCGCTATTAAAAATATTAATTATTTCACCAAGAGATGTCGCTACTATGTACTTTTAAGCTAAACGAGCACGTGGTTGCCCCTGAAATTCAACTTTGCGCAACTTCACCGCAACACAAATCTGACAACTTTTGACGAAGTACTACCGCATAGTGACGTAGTGAAAACCTAGATATGGCTCTCTCGTACGCATTTCTTATGCTAGAATTTTTTTGAAGTATTCGACTCCATTTACTTTTCATTATATAGATACCTAATTTTGATACATTACTTTAAATATAAAATCTGTAAAACGACCTATTTCGGAGATTAATCTCTATATCTTTTAGATTAAGTCGTTTTTCGTGACCTCTTTTTGGTTACTATGTTGTGATAAGCTATGAATTAAAATACGACTTTAACTATCATGTGGGTTATTTATGCCGAATGATTTTAGTATATTTTTAATAAAAATTAAAAATTAGGCTACACTGGTAGTTATTTAAAAATTGGTACAAAAATGTCAGCGAAGGCTTCTGTCTTTTAAAGTTTTGTCACAACGTCTTTTTCCTTTAGAAGCCCAGCATTTCAAAACAAGTTATTTACGGCGCTATTTTTTAGATTCACACATGAATCCTTATCCAAACAAAAGTGTTATAAGACTTTAGAGTATATTAAATTTGCCATTTATGGTACACAATTCTGAGAAATGTTTAAGAAAATATCACGATTACAAACAATAAATATAACTGAAAAATAAACTCGCGGGACGGGTTCGGCTGTTTTTACAATGTTTTTACTAATAGAAGGGACATCGCTGGAAAGGGTACTGATTATGACAAACAAGAGATCAAACGTAGGTATATACTTTACCACCCGGGCGAATTGGGACGGGTCGCTCGTTATTCATTAATTCAACCATCATCATAAAGTTAATATTAAAATTATTTTAAATTACTTGTGCGTTATAATTGGCAATTATTTTCATCTTGTAGACTAGTCTAATAGTCTAGTTATATAAAAAGATCTAGTTAAAGCGCACTTACTAATGTTTACGTAAACTGTAAAAATATTCGTGGGACAAAACTATAACGATTAAGTTACAAATAGTATGAACATTATTACTAAAAATATGATAAATATAATTAGCTCTTAGTAAATTCTAAACAATATTATGGTTTGCAAATCTTTGTTATTTTAGGTGTAGATTCTATTCAAAACGGGTTCAATGACACTGAGGTTTGAAATTTAGGTCAAAAATATATGCAGTGTTCAAACAAAACGTTACAATAAAGCAAGTAAAATATATAATAACTGAAACTTCAAATACGAGTACGTTTTCCCAACGTTAGTGAATTCTTTATAAGGAAATGTGTTCACATATTGTTTTACTTTACTTTCTTCCGGATTTGTTGTTTGAAACTTACAAACAACACTTAGAAAGTAGGTTGTTGTTCAAAGGCAGAAAGCAACAATACATATAGTTTTTAAGATTTACATAGAGGTTACATAATAATTCTGACTTTATGTTATTACCAAAGAAAGATGGATTTTAAACTATAGAGTCAATATCAAAAGCGTCAATAGCCTAATGGTTAAGGATACGGATTTCCGACCACGAGGTCGGGGGTTCGAATCCCGCCATTCGACTATTGTCGTAAACCATATCCTAGCACAAGCCTAGAGCTTAGTTGGAATGGTAAAAGAAATATTAGTAAATTTTCAAAAAAAATCTGCTAATATTTTATAAAATATATATATATATATATATATATCCGTTTATTAGCAGTCTTTCTTATTAGGAAAGGATGGGAAGTGGAAGTAGACTTTCCGGATGAGAGGATGCATGGAAAAGGAAAATATTTTCTTTCTGTGCTTCTTATCCTCTGTCGATTAAAGGTAGGCAACGCATATGCAAATGCGTATGTCTATGGGCAACGGTCACTTCGCTATTTCAGCGATTTCAGGTGACCTCTCGCTCGTTTGCCACCTTATGATATAAAAAAAATCCGCAGCCTAATTCGTCTTAAGTTCTTTAATGTACGGTATCAATATTTTGACAGATTCTCTCTATACCAATGCAAGTTATTAAACTTACAAAAACTTCTACCGAGGAAAATAAGTAACGTAGAGTTTGTCGCTAATTAAGCAAGCTGACACTAGATACCAGACGCAGAGTGCAAGGAATGGACCACGAATACTCATCGTCACCTACTAAGCGATATAGATGCGCAAATTTTTCAACAAAAATGATAAATACGTCTTGCTTCATCGAGTTGACTGCTAGGCGATGTCGTTTATCAATCATTCAGTTGAAAAAACAATACTCGACTTGTCGGTGAATCGACCGAAAGTGGTCCACTCGTGAATTCCGGGACGGGTTGTAACGATATGACTGATGAGCTTTATGTGTACGAAGCGATGAGCAACAGCAAACTATTATTATAAAACAGAAAGTTTTGTACCTAATGGCTAAACTGTGGAACTACTGAAGTTTATAATAATCAACATAAAGAGCTACTTTATCGTTTATACAATATCAAAATGAAGGCTATTACTGAAATATAGTTGAAAAAATAATAAAAATATGTAGTTTACATATATTAACTTACGAACTCTAAATTTAGCTGTGAATGGAAGTCATTAATAATTTTGCACATTTGTACTATTATAATTTTACCAACTTTTAATTCCACTTTGACTTATTTATTACGCTTGCTAGTCTATAATTGTAGATAGGTATTGAAACTTAAAGTAAAATAACCTGAGTTGAACCCACTAAATGTACTAAAAGGGTACTAGGGAGGAATGGTGGCGCCTTGTTCACTGATACCTGATGGCTATAACCACTCTGGAAAGACAGCAACGATAAAAAGAATATAGAACTTAAAAATACACGACAAATGGCGTCATTTAAATTTTCGTCAGAAAGCTACTGTTGCCATTTCGCTTACTTTTTTTTTATATCATAAGGAGGCAAACCAGCGAGCGGCCACCTGAAATCGCTGAAATAGCGAAGTGACCGTTGCCATATACATACTCAATTGCATATGCGTTGCCTACCTTTAATCGACAGAGGAAAGGATGCACAGAGAGAAAATATTTACCCCTTCCATGCATCCTCTCATCCAGAAGTCCACTTCCTCTTCTCATCTTTTCCTTATAAGAAAAAGGGTGGGAAGGGAAAGAGGACTAAACTAGGCCTCCGGGACGCACACTAATCAGACTGAACACGGAACTGCTTCCACTTCACGCCTGTCTTCTGTGTGGTCGTGGTATTTCACCGGGCGAGCCTGGCCAATTCGTGCGAAAATGTTAAAGCGGGCTCTACCACTGTTAAAAACTCCGTGTACAAAAGTATTTTTATATTAAAATGAAACATTATAATTGATCATATAATTTATTGGATCACAGAACTAAATTTCGTACAATGTTTCTACATGTTTTAAAGTTCAGTTTGAGCAACATTAATCACACCGATACCATAAAATTTTGATTCAAGGAAGAATAAGATACTAGAGACAGTTATCTTTATACACATAAGTTTAAACATACTATTCAAATTTCATTTAAACAAGAAACACACACAACATGACATTATAAAGAAAAAACGTCCATCAAAC